CTCGGAGTTCGCAAAGTAAAAACGCCTAAAAACTCAGTGAAAAACTCGGTGCAGAAACACCCGAGGACTAGGTGAGTATGCAAAAAAATGAATCATTTATATCATATCTTTGCGCTTATTTCTATACAATTGGTCTCGTTAGGCGATTGAACTGGCCTGTGCGTGTACTATACTTACAAGTTAGGAAAAAGTTTGGCAGACCACATGTCTCGATAGGTTATTTAAAGAACAGAGGGGGTGAGTTTCTGAAGAAACTGTGGCGCTGCGTCGTTGGGGTATTAAAAGATAATCTAGTTTATCAACTGAGTTGATAATGCAGATCGACTTCCGTTAAGAGTTTCGGGCTGAAGTTTCGAAAGTCGGCCCTTCGTCAGCCCTTTTGTCATCTGAGTTGATAAATCTAAAGTTCGCAAAGAATATAAAATGAGCTTCGGTCGCTACGTTCTACCAACCAAACGCATGAAAATGTACGCCGCAGTCTCTACGATAATATAAACAGAAGCGCTTTCAGATGCCCGACGGTGATTTATCGTAGAAAATATTTCATTTCACCACCCCTTATCGGAGTATTAATCAGTTTTGCAGATCATTAATGAAGTTTACAGAATGACAACTGAAATTCACCTATGTTGTAGTTCTCAAATCGATATATATTTTACCTCTACGTCAATTATTTTGTTTGTTTAGCTTGGTCCGCGCCGATAGGAAAGTCCCTCGCCTAAACGACATTCTAGAGAGTGCCAAAACGACCAAAACATACTGTTAACGCTGACGCCCTCCTAACATTGTGCCTCGGGCATGATACATAGATAAACTATGGGAGTCACGCGAAGTAACTGAAAGAAAGAACACCCTCTATAAAAGAAAAAAAGTAATTTCAGTTGTGCTTTTGCTTTGCCTTTTCACGTCTGGCGTAAGTAAACCCATTTGCTCTACAGAATGGATTTTTTTTTTTCAATTCAGGCACAATTCTGGACACTTGCTTGTTCGATGTAAATGGGTGATTTCTTTTTTCTTCGAATTCTAGAATAATTTGCTTGCAAGGCGTTTCATACGCGCGCTTTAGGCAGTTGTTCGCGGGCGCTAGCACGATATTACTCGTGCTTTGTTAGACTGGACATTTGTCTTTTAATGATACGCCGAACTTTGTTTCAAACAAAAAACCTGCCAAATTGTACAACGGGTGAAAGCAAGATTCTTGCTCTTTAAACGAGACAAAGAAAACTAATAAAAAACCCAGCGGGAAGACTACGTCGGACTAATTTGCTCTACAGAAATTCAATCTGCATTTTGAATATCTTTTGGTAACTCTTTTCCGAAGGGCAATTGAAGTTACAGAGATTTTGTTGGTCTAACATTAAAGACTGGTAGCAAAAGAAAACAAGAATGTCGGCTTAAATTCTATATCTAGAACTGCACACTGGGTATCGCCATTGAGAAAGGGTTATTTTATTGTCTGTTTTCCTATCTAAAAAACTTGTTCAGACAGGGCCTCCCCGTTTGATCTTTGTTTAGTCTGAGGTCATAAAAGGGAAAAAATAACCTCGAAAGTCTGCACGCAATGGATCGAGACGAAAACTTTTTTTAGTTTCTTCTGGGTGTCGAAAGCTGATAGCCACTCGTCGCAGTCAGTGTTCATTTGCTACCAATCAAAATCATCCGTAAGCGTAGAGCTTCGTTGAATTTGACCTGGAAGAGCGAAATAATCCAAAAAGGAACATACAGTATTTCCTTTCTGGTTTCCTGAAGGAATTACTTGAGATGTCATCGGCAGCTTTCGCCTGCTGAATCCTGCATGCAGCGTCCCACCATCATGTCAATTCAAGTCGTATGCGCTTTGCTGAGCACGAATTTGTAAAAAGTCATATTGACATTTTAGGTTAATGGCAAATGTATTCTTCAAACATATTTGAACAGTTCGTAATGGGAGCTGATTGCGGTTAGCGGCAATATTTATATTGTTTCAAGCGATGAGTGGAAAACGGTGAGACAATATTTGTACAAACGTTTAGTTCATTTAACGATGCCAATTTGCTAATTTCAAGGCAATTAGTTTGGGGCCATTTTTATGCATGGAAACTTTTAAATTCAGATTGACTGAAAATTCTGATAATCCCCAAATGAAGCCTAAATATGGTCCGTTTTTAACACGCTTTGAGCTTTTCCTTGATCTTAAACTTCTTTTCCTCTTGGAGATGACAGAAATTTTACGCTTAAGTTAAAAAACCTTAATTTCATAAACTGAATCTTACCTCGATTTT